TAAGAAACTTAGTGGACGTCCATATTTCTCATATATGTGTGTGTTATATATATATATATATATATATATTATAATATGGTCATTAATGTGTGTGTGCGTTTATGTGTGTGTGTGTGTATATAGGTGTGTGTTCGCGTGCGCGCATGATTTTTTTGAGGAAAATGGCCATAGATTCATAGAATCATAATCCTAAGTGTATACAGTTGTATGTATTTAAGTACATAAGTATATATGTATGTATATATGTATTATATATAATTATATTATGATATGGTCATTAATGTGTGTGTGTGTATGTGTGTGTGCGCGCGCGCGCATGATTTTTTGAGGAAAATAACATAGCTTCGTAGAATCATAGTCCTAAGTGTATACAGTTGTATGTATTCAAGTACACAAGTATGTACTTGGTAGATCTTTGCCTGAACCGAAAGGTTTTTAACCGAAAAGATTTTTACAGATTGAAATATCTTTGCTCGAACCGAAAGGTTTTAACAGATCGAGGAGATCGTTGCCTTGATCGAAAGGTCTTATAGATCGAGGAGATCTTGACAGTACTTGGTTGGTGCACACCATTATACTGTACTGTTGTTTCCGGAAACAGTTTGGGCTTGGGATCATTGCACCTGAATAGGCTAAATATTATTTTAAGCGCATTGTTTCTCAAAAAAGCAGGAAATATACACAAAATACAGGTTTTGAATAGTGAATCCAAAAAAAGACCAGATTTTGATCACCGTGAAAAAAAAAAACATATACCACAAAGAAAATTATACAGGATATGGGATTTTTTCCATTAGATAGTCATTAGCCATAAAAACAAAGGAAAGAATGTAGAAACTATAAATCTTGCATTAATACTGACTTCGATTCTGGAAGAAAGGGAAGAACAAAGAGAATTTTTCGGGTCTCCTCTCCTTTTTAATCTCAAAAAACATTTGATATTCTCACACACTGTTATTATTTATTCCTACGCCTTTGAATCGCCCGCGAGGTCTTTACTTAATTACTTGTGTTTTTCTTCTTGGGCTAGAAGCAATTTTCCTTTATTATTTTTTTTTTCTGATTTCTATTTTTGGGTTTTTATTTACTTTATGCATGGACCCGCAAGCTTCCTATATTTTCGTTGGCTATTGTTCTTTCGTCTTCCGTTGTTTCAGGATTTTGTTTTTGTTTTTGTTAAATTAGTCTTGACGCATATTAAGCGGATTCGGATCCTCTCCACTACAAAAAAAATAGTGGAGGGACCACTACATAATCACAGCCATTGATTATCTAGTTGATGGTTATGATTTTTTCTTTTAGTGCAAATTAGGAATGAGTGCAATACACGAGGGTATGATAAGTGTTAGATTTAGATTGTATCATAACCGCCTACTAAATAATCAATGCTTGAGATTAAAAGTAGTGGTCCCTCCACTACTTTTTTGTAGTGGAGAGGATCCAAATCCGTTAATCATATTCTTTAATAAGTTAATGGTCACATGACCTGTGTGAAGTGCATATTTCTTATGCCAATCAAAATCATCAAAGATTTGTTACTGATTTAACAAGAAAACAAGCTGTCAATAACAAATCGGATGAGATTTTTAGACCGACGATCAGTAACATCAATACTTATTTAGTTATAGGTTTGAAAATGAAATTGCTATATCTATTTTTATAAAAAAATAAATAAATAAAGAAATAATTTCGTGAATTTAACCATAGCTAAAGGTAATTATAACACGCTTTATATACTATTTTTACTATTTTTACTGTATCACGACTCATCAGGAATCCCACATAGGCCTACTTTGGTAAAGTCTCCAAGTTTCAGGGGGACTGCGTGTTTCGTAGATGTTTTTTGGGCTAAATAACAGAAAACCCCCTTAACTTTGGCAATTAGCGGTAAACCCCCTTTGACTTTCAAAATATTAGAAAAACCCTCGTAATCATTGGGATTATCACAAGACCCCCATTAACTTTCAAACTTTTATTGGAAAACCCCCCTTAGCTTTCAAATTTTATCAGAAAACCCCCTAAAATTAGGGGGGTTTCTGGTAAGCCATAAACTTAAGGGGTTCTTTTGATATTTTCAAAGTTAAGGGGCTTTAAGGGGTGTTTTATGATATTTAGTCCTTTTTAGTTTTCACAGATCCGAACCCGAAAGTTTTCGGGTCAAATTCAAATCGGGTCATCTTGCCGTCCGGCCCCGTTATCACCTACCACTCCGGCACTCCCCCCAATTTCCCGCCGTCATCCTCTCCTCTCCGCCGTCGCATCCTCAGCTTCTCCAAGCTGACACCAAAATGACCATTCTACCCTCCTCTGATCTCGATCCCTAGAGCTAAAATGCTCCGATTCTCAATCTCATCCTGTTCTCTTCAATCCTCCATCTCCACAGTATCGATGTCCTCTTCCCGCTTCAACGTAACTGAACCCTGAACCCTAAAATCCTAAAAACCCTAACTCTAACTCTAACCTTAGCCCTAACCCTAACGTCTTCTTGATTCTTTATTTTCCCAGGCTCGAGGTAGCCGGCCATGGCACCGTGGGTTCTGCCACCGGCCGCCATCGGCGGGGCGGCGGCGGCGATCATCCATTCGTGAGCGGCGACACGCACCTGACACTGTCAGGGACGATAATTACAAATATCGGCAGGGATATGGAGGGAATTATTGATTCCCGGGGGTAGGTCTGGGCAAGATTATCGTCGGTGGGCCCGCTCCGCAAGTTGCCACCCGAATCCGGCGGCCGTCAGTTTCACGCCGAACGTGCAATCGCGAATCCGCGGCGCCTCAGTTTCAAACCACCGAACGCGCATACCGAATCCGCGACCCTCAGTTTCGCCCGCATCCGCAGCAGCACCGGCCAGATGATCACAGGAATTGGGTGAATGCTTGCTCTCGGCCGCCGCCTCAGTGTGGTGAGCTTCTTTTTTCCACATTTCGTACTGGGAATTTTCTTTCTGAACTGTTCGTGTAGAAAGAATGTTGCTTATCAAAGTTTAGATAGTTTGAAGCTTGTTAGAACTTAGAAGATTTCATTATGTGAGTTATACTGTTGAGTTGTTTATGGTGAGAAACATTTTTCTTGAAAGCTGGAGTTTAGATAATTTTTTCTTGTTTTAGAAGACACGTTTTAAGCCCATGCTCGCATGGACTGGATATGATTTCTTTGGTTTGTATATGATGGTTTAAATCTTAATTTGGTTGCTTTTCTAAATTGAATTTGCCAAAATTCTTTCCTTTTTTGGTTACAGCTTACTCTTTTCTGTTGTGCCCGTGGTTGCACGAATGACTGTGATTTTTGCACGAATGAGTGTGATTTAATCAAATCACTTATTTCTTCTACCCTGCTTGAAGCCAAATCAATTCACTAAACCTTTTTCCATGTTGTTTAATCGCATCTGTTCTCCATAAATCCTAAAATATATATCCCTCTCCCTTCATCTCTACAAACTCCAATTGTCCTCCCTCTCGCAGGCCTCAACCCTCATTCCCTTACCTCTTCCTCCCATCAGACAATGCTTCAGATCCCAAATCTCCTCCTTGCTCAAAAACCTCCGAAACTCTTTCTTGCTCACCCTTTTAGATTTTTTTAGCAGTCCATTGGTAATTTTCAGAATTTTAAGGAGGTTGTTTGTTATTTTCTAATCTTAAAGTGGGTTAGTTGTTTTTATTTTTATTTTTCAAGACGTTATTTATATTTTTCAGATTTTAGCCCTTTTTTGTAGTTTTTGAATCTTAACTGATTGTTTGCAGTTTTCAAATTGCAGAGGGATTATTTGCAATTTCATATTTCAGAGGTTGTTTACAGTTTTCCA